CGGGGGGGGCGGCGGCGGGTTCTGGCGGGGGGGGCGGCGGCGCTGCTGCCGCTGCTGCCGGCGGGCGAAGCTTCTCCTTCAAGGTGGTTCTGCTCGGGGAAGGCTGCGTGGGGAAGACTTCTCTGGTTCTCCGTTACTGTGAGAACAAGTTCAATGACAAGCATATCACTACCCTGCAGGTAGGTCCTGGAGGCCGCTCCCCGGTTTCGTCAGGGGTGAAGTTCGGCTTCTTTTTAAGATGGGCTTTGTTTCACTTCGGTCGCACTCGGTCCTTTTGAGGAGGGGACGACGGTGGGTCCTAGGGCTGTTTTTTTTATCTAATCCGAACAGTGAGAGATTGAAGCGGTTCAAAGTTTCCAGCCCGGGCCATGCCGTTTCCAAATGGATGAACCTAGTGCTAGATAATAGTGGCCTATTTATTATTGAAAATCAGAGGAAGTACTTCCCACCCCTCGGGGACTTTGATTTTTGTAGAGGGTATGTTGTCAATGATAGTTTATACTAGTTTGTACTAAAATAAGAGTTTGTTGGCACTCTTTAGAAAAGGAGGCACTAATGTTTGTCATATCCAGCTTTATTGGAGGTAAATAAAAATTCTTGTGTTAGACAACATAGGAACACAAAAGAGGTAATAGAACAGATGAAAAAATTAATAATATTTTAGATGCCATTGGTTCTACTTTAGAAATGCTGTAGCAAACTGACTTTGCTATTTCTCTGGAATTTAAACACATCTGGTATTTTAATGTATGCATGAACTACCAAAGCCCATTCACTGTACTGTTTTTACTCCCAGTGTTATGTTTCATAAGTATGTTTCTGTGAAAATCTCTAAATAGCTTGGTTAAGTTTATTATAGGGATTTTTTTTCTTTTAAGGATTTCACATGGTCATCAGATGTTCTGGATGAAAACTGTTCTCTTACTCTGTATTATGCTTGCCTGACCTTAACAAGACATTTTTTTAAAGTCAGTTTGTGCATTTACTGACCTGTTTACAAATTGGTTAATAAACATGTTGATTTATATATAGTAAAATAGTCTTGGGTGGATGGGTAATATGAAACCCTTGTCACTGTAGCTCATTTGCTTTGCCATGTAACTGTTTAGAAAATAGTAGTGAAGTATGTTGTCAGATCCAGTGTTTAGTCACATGGAGACCTAAAGTAAACTCTGAATAATTCAGATTACAGAAGGATATATTTGTAATGATACCTCTCCAAGGATACAAATAAAACCATTAAAGGAAGCTGAGTTTCCATACACTTCCGTAAGTAAGCTTGATTAAGGTTAACTTCCACTTTCAGCAATTTGGGTCCATGTGGTTCTTCAAAGTAGTAGTATTATTCCATACCAAAATCCTGCATTCTGTCTAAATGTCTGTTGTTTAGGGTGGCCTTAAGGATAATGTTAGGCTGAGTTTATGAATTAAACAGTGTTGATCCTTTTGCTTTGTAAAAACAAACATGCAAGAGAGAATATATTCCATCTATGCAGGCCAAGCAATTATTTTTGTCTACAGAAAAACACTACAGTATTCCCATTAGACAGTTCATTGATAAATGACAGGTTTGTTTCTTCTTAGCAGTATATAGGATATCAGTAACCCCCCCCCCCCCCCAAGGCTCACACAAATCTGGATTTGTTAGGTAGATTCTTGGGATTTCCCTTTTCTCACTATCAGTGGAATGAATAAAAACTTTGTGCACTTGGAACAGACTGTTGGGTGTTAAGATTGTTCTATCCTGCCAGCGACCACTATAATGGGAAGCACTGCAATCTAGCAGCCTGCAGCTAAGAATTAGATACTGGAAGGCAACCCACACTGGATATGATAGATCAGGTAGATTTCAAAATTGAGAAATGTCAGTTCACAATTGCTTCTTGAAGAATTCTAACTTCCTCTAAAGATTAAATTCGTTGTTATTCAACTCTTTTACATCCTGCCCTTTCTCAAAGAAGCTCCAGGAGACTTACATAATTCTTTTTTCCACTCCACACCAGTTGTATTGCAACAGCCCTGCAAGACAAGTTATGTCTTAAAACAGCCAGCTTTTTTCTCCTTGTTTTAACACCAGAAGAAAAATGCTTGCAACACAGCATTGGTGTGAGGAATTTAAATGAATATAGAGGTACTTTTTATCTCTTTGCAGTTTATAAGAAAGCAATGCAGAGAAATCTGATTTGGGACAATGTGTTATGATACTAAAGATAACATTGTGTTAGGAAAGGGAAGGGGTTCTCTTTGCTGAGGAAATATCTCTATTCATGCCCCTTTCTGATCTAATGTTATCTTTAGTATCATAACACATTGTCCCAAATCAGATTGGTAGGTTATTGTCTGGTTAAGTTGGATTCAGTCAGCCAGTTATTACAGTCTTAGACCTTACAAAGTCAGGTTCAGAATGAAACAAAAACATTTTCCAGATTTGAAAAATAATCAGTTTGTTCAAAGCTTGCTTTATTACTGTAAACATGTATTTTGTATACATTAATGTGTTAAATTATATATTTTGCTGAATGTAAGAACTTATTTAGTTCTATGCAAATAATTACAAATCCATTTTTAGTATGAAGCAGCAGGCTGTTTCATAGGTATTATTTATTTATTTGTAAGGCTACTTAATCATCAGATGATTCAAGGTGGTATGCAGGACAAATTTAAAAACAATATAATAAGAACCAAAAAACAGTATAGTGGTACCTCGGGATACGAACTTAATCCGTTCCGTGACTCTCGGCGTATCCCGAGTTGGTCGTAAGCCGACGCAAATTTCCCCATAGGGTTCAATGTAAATCCGGTTAATCCATTCCGCCCTCCAAATTTGGTTGCACCCCGAAACAAATTTTCCCATAAGGTTCAATGTAATTACCGTTAATCCGTTCTGGCGTCCGCGGACCACGCGTCAGGGGCGGGAGAAC